CCACTGTTCTCCATAGAGGCTGTATCAATTTACATCTCCTCCAACAGTATAGGAGGGTTCCCTTTTTTCCACACCCTTTCCAGCATTTACTTCTAATATGGTCTTATATTTTCTTCTTAGGACTTCAATCTTTTCTCTACCTGGCACACAGTAGGGACTTTAAGCCCATTTGATATTTCTGAACCCAAAGCTGACTTCACCCTTACACTTGAACTTTTAAATCTTATCTCATCCATGTTTCAGTGCTGTTATTATTCCCTAAGAGATAACTACCCTCCCTCCTCAATTCCAACTGTTTCCTTTAAGGATGTGTCAACACAAGCATTTAAAATTTTTGTTAATGGAAAGATATAATTACCAATACTTTTTTTTTTTTGGTAGCAGAGAAACCTTTTTTTTTTCTGTAGCAGTGGCAATAGTTCCACTCTTGGGTCACCAAAGGAAAAAAGAAAAATCTTTTAGGTACCAGATGTTGATCTCGCCTTGGACATTAAAACTAGACAATGTAGAAAAGGATTAAGTGGTGGACTGAGTCAAACAAAGATACGAATCTATTTTCATGGGGAAAATAAATAAAACGCCACTTATCCTACCTGTCTGTAACTAGAGTGGGTGTAAGAATTAGAGAGAATATTATATGAAAGTGCTCCAGCTATAAAAATATAAGGTGTTAATCATTTATTCATCAATAATGTAAAAAATGTTTGTTTGTTTATTTATTTATTTATATTTAGGCTGGTGAAAGTATAGACATCAGCAAAACAGATTCTGTCCTCATGAAGTTTATATTCTAGTGCGAAGAGAGACAAAAATTAGGTGGTATAATTGATAGGGAGAAAAGCAGTAACAGGGATTAAGGTAATAGGGAAAAGCTTCTCTGAAAAGGTGAAATTTGAAGGAAGTAAATGGTAAAAAAACATCTGGGGGAAGAGAACCCAAGTATATGAAAATCTCAGTCTTATGTTCTACTATGTTTAAATTAATGATGTGCAATTAAAACCATTGGTATTTGTGAACTGCTGCTATAATTCATTCAGCACCCTGATTTGCCTCCAAAGAAAAGGTTACCTATTTTATGGATAATAACGATTTATACTATAGCTAAGAACCCATGCAATTACATTAAAGACTACCTAGCAAAAGGCTTTGGCATCACTGTTATAAGTAAACGTCTAAGGAAATCTGTCAATAGTTGGCTGCCAAGCAGAATTCTTACAATGTGCTACAGTAAACTAGGAGTATATTGGGAGACATGATCTTGGTAACTCTTTGTACAGTGTTGAGTGCTTTTCTCTGAACCACCTGTCTCCAAATAGTTTGATGTGTCCTATCAGAGAAGGGAAAAATATAACACAGAGCAATGCATGTAATCATATAAATTATGTATATATACAACCCTATCATATTGTATATACAGTAGAAGACACTAAATGTAATTGGCCTCAAGCTTAAAAGAAAGTACTCTTAACATTTCTAGATAAAGTATTAATAATGTGAGTATTTAATCAGAGCCTAACAAAGCTTGGTTTGCTAATTACATTTAAGTACAGAATCACATCTATTTATTTTCTTCTCTTTTGGCCGCTCTGTGTGGTGTGTGTGATCTCAGTTCCCCGATCAGGGATAGAACCCGTGCCCCCTGCAGTGGAAGCTCAGAGCCCTAACACCACATTGCCAGGGAATCCCCGGAAGTCACATTATTTTAAAGCCAGAAGGGATCTAACTATATCGTTTACAGATTATTGACAATCTTGCAGTATATACTAGAAGATCAAGATTTAGATATACGTTTTCGGAAATGAGTCATGAGTCAATAGCTGCAATAAGAGAAGTAAAAACTTCTCTTACTTGTCCTCAAAGGTTTAAGAATACTTTATCCATCAGTGCCTGAAGGTTCACTTGAAACCATCATTCCATGGGCTTCCCTGGTGGTGCAGTGGCTGAGAGTCCGCCTACCGATGCAGGAGACGCGGGTTCGTGCCCTGGTCCGGAAGGATCCCACATGCCGCGGAGCAGCTGGGCCCATGAGCCATGGCCGCTAGGCCTGCGCGTCCAGAGCCTGTGCTCTGCAACGGGAGAGGCCACAACAGTGAGAGGCCCGCGTATGGCCAAAAAAAAAAAAGAAGAAGAAGAAACCATCATTCCAGTGATCTAAAGGGTATTGATATTGAAGACTGTAATGTGTACGGAGAAAAGAACATACGTCTTTTAGAAGCCCCTTTCATTTGCTAGACATTCTCTCTGTGTCACCAAGAGTAGTCCTAATGGTTCCAGTAAGCCTAAAGGTAGGATTCCTATGGTTACAGAATTTGCTACTTCACTCCTTTCCTCTTTATCTTTCTTCCTTCTACTTCCTTTACTAACAAGTTAAAACCAGCTATTCTAGTCTAATAGATTAAGGCCCTATTATTATTGACACCACACACTCCAAATCCAATCCATGTTGTGTATCTTAGAGTTAGTTCCCTGTGCACAAGCTGCTTTACTTGCATCCTCTTTCCTCACAATTAAAAAAAGAAAAAACTACTATCGCTACCTCTATAAGCTGACAAAATAGGGTTTTTCTGGTGATGAAAATGTAAGCTTTGGAATTAACTATGCACAGCTTAAAATACTATCACATACAAAGAATTAGCATAACAATACCCCTTCAATTTAATAACCTCTGCAAAATATTTTATTAGCCCCACACCCATGAAAAGAACTCAAAGCATATTCCAAATGTAAGCAACTACAAATTCCATTCTAAAAATTAGTCAAGGAAGAGCCATAGACAAAAGACAGATAACCTAACCAGAGATACCCAAACATTCAGTTATACACCTGCTGCTGGCCATCAGATAATGCAGTTGTATGGTCCACTATAAAGTACTTAAGTCACAATCAAAGATTACTCTTCCTATCAAGTCTGCATCCCGCCTTTGGGACCAGTACTTGCTCCCATTTCCTCAACAGAGGCTCATCATAGACGGGCCCAGGAACAAATAGCTGATAAAACTGCAACTTAAGTGTACCTCCTGGTTCTACGGTTCAAGCCTGGTGACAAGAAGTTTCAAGCAGCTTACTTCATCAGAGCCTATCACTGTCAACAGCAACTAACAGCTCCAGGAAGAGCCTTAGCACCAGTTACGCCAAACTTTTAAAACCTTTCTTCTCTACCCAAAGCCCTGACAACAACAATCTCTAAACCTTAGGGAAACAATGTTGTTTTAAAAATTAACTTACATACATGGTTATTTACTTTCCAATTTGGTCATGGAGTGCAAGACCAGGCCAGTGACCCAAAATATGCGGGAATTCTTAAAGAATTAACTTTAAGAAACGTTAATAATTCACGTTAAAATTAAAATGTACTCCCATCTCCACCCCCCCATGATGGCATAATTTCAAATCAATTTGTATCACACATACATGCAAGTTCTCTCAAAAAATATTTTAAAAACATGGCTGTGACTACTTAGCACTAGCTACCAAATATCAAACAATTTAGATTTCTTCTGTAAGATTTTAGATTTTTCCACAAATGACACAAGTGGTTATTTTATATAAATAGGCATTAAAATGATTCATCCTTGCTAACTGGAGAGATATGATATGGCCATTTTAAAATTAAAGTCAGATTTATTCTGACCTAGTCCTGTAAGATCTTTCCACCGCTCTAAGATTTTACGATTTACAATACATTGAATGTAGTAAACAGCTTCCAAAATTTGTATCGCTTCTCACAAATCAGATGGACCTTCAGGTCTCTGAACCTAGCTTCTTTGTTAAATTTTAGAATTTCTTCTCTGGAGAGTAACCTACTAGGAACTATGTACCAAGTTAACGTCTTTGTGCAATCTGTAAAAAAGTAACCGCTCCTTTCATTGTATTTTGACTGGCCCAAGCAATGGGATTCAAGAAGACTTACTGCTCAAATTGCAAATGAGAAGAACCCCTAAAATTAAATTATCTTACTTTTATAATTTACTGTTCCACGAGTTCAAGCTTTTCTGATTATTTAGCACTTTCTGCACTGCTCCTCAAAGTTTTCCTGCACCAGGCCTCCCATCGCCTAGAAACAGCCTTCGCAAGCCAAATGCCAATGCTATCTGTCCCACACCTCCAAAGCACGGTATTTCCTGATCGAACAAAGCAACAAAGAAGTGGGTGGTAACCACCTCTCAGAGAGGCAAGCCAGGACCCATCGAGCCTGACCGACAACACAAGCAGCAACAGCTCTACGATGCCCTCCCACCGTCTTATTTCCCCTGAAGCCTGACTACCTCAAACTCGAAAACCCTCATTTTTATTGAGGAAGTGAAGCCTTTTCATTTGAATGCTGAGAAAGTGGCGCTCAAAGCACCCGGCAAACAAAGGAGAGGGATGGAGCCCACGCAAAACAGGGGTGTGAGCGCGCCTCAAGGCGCACGTGAGCCCCCACCCTCAAGGGGTACTCTCCAGCACCCACCCGGGTCGAGGGGTCCGGGGAGAGGCCGGCAGCAGAGAAAGGAGAAGACGCTCGGGCCAGCCGGGGACAGAGGGGAGCGGAGGAGGGGAGAGGAGGAATGGGGGCTCGAGGGGCGGAGCTCTCGAGGCCGTGGGGCTTTGTGTGGAGTCTGGGCCGGGGTAGCTGTTTTGACCCGGGGGGAGAAATCGGGTGCAGGCGGCCGGAGCAGGGGACCCCAAACCTCCCTCCCACGGAGAGGCGGAGGGGAGAGACGCGAGGGAGGGCCGTCTGCTTCGCACCAGCACGAACCCAGGGTAGGCCGGCGGCGGACGACACTGCGGGAAGGAGAGGGGCCGGACGGAAAAGTGGGGCGTCCACTTAGGTCCCCGCGGAGGCTGCCAGACAGTGTCGGGTCGCGAATGGGTTAAGATGCGGCCAAACGTCGGTCCCTCCTCCTGACCCCTCAGCACCGGCGACCACTCGCGACGGCTGCCGCAGAGCCAGGTGCGGCTCCGGGCCCGGCGCCGCAGCCCTGCCCGCCCACCCACCCGCCGGCCGGCCTGCCTCTCACCATCGTAGTAGTAGCAGACTTTCTTCTTGCCGCCTCCCTGACTGTACGCCATGGGCTCCCCGGCCACCGCCGCCTCCGGCTCCTCCTCTGGCTGCTGCTGCTGCTGCTGCCGCCGCGGCTCGGCGGGGAGAGAAGAGGGCTGGGGCGAAGGTGGGGGGGCGGTGGCAGTGCCGCGGGGAAAGGCAGGCCGGAGGGCCGGAGGGAGGAGAGGAGGGGAGTGCCGGGAGGGCTCGGTACCGCCCGGCCGAGTGGCCGAGAGCGCGGACCAGGGGGTGGCAGCGGCGCCAACTCGCGACACTGGGGGGGGGGGGGGGGGCAGCCAAACCACCTCCGGAGGCCGAGGGGAGGTGGGGCGCGTCCACTGTGACTCCACGGGGGAGGAGGGGGCACGACTAGAGAAAGAGGCTTCTTCATTTCTGGGGAAGGAGGCCTTCCAATGATGAACAACTTGCGCAGGGCGGCTACAAATACAGTCGGAAAACTATTTTTAAAAAGAGTCAGGCTTTCGCTCCGTAAGTAAAGAGAGCGTGGAGCCAGGTGAACGCTCCACCCCTTCGGATCTTCGCACAGTGGTTGCGCCTATCACGAGCCTGCGCAGTCGGCGCCTCCCCAACCGTAGCCGGGGCCGCCTAGACCCCCTCCGCGATGTCCCACGCCGCTCCCCTCCCCCACTGTGGCTAAGCTCCCGCCCGGGCGGACCACGTGCTCCGAGCCGGGCGGGGAGAGACCGCTCTCCCACCCCTTCGACCGCATGGAACCCGCTGAGCTGCAGCCCACGACCCCTATACTGGGTCGTCGTGGATTTCATTTATTTTTTCATTTTCTGCTGATAATTGCTCGGAGGTTCTGACCTGTTAAGGGGACCTACTGCAGACATTAAGGAGTACCTGGGTTTGAATGGGCATTTATGGAATGCATTTATGTGTTGGATAGGGTTCTGAGTGTTTGCATTAATGATGTATTTCATTGATACCTATTTGTAATAGATAACCTGTTAACTCAGTTGAGACTCCCAACAACGCTGGGATGTAAGTATTACTTCTAGTTCTTCTTTATAAATGGGGAGATTAAGGAACTTGATCCTCTCAAATGTTGATGGTCTGGAGTTTGATTTCAGTCTTTCTCCAAAATCCATACACCCTAGCTACTCCATTATGACTGCTTCTGATAGCTGGGCACTGAAAGATTGGTGCAGAAGTTCAGAGAAAGGACTTTCAAAAGTCTTGGAAGTTATAAATACCTTTGTCCCTGTGTTCAACAAGTCAACAAACATCGAGCACCTACCTACTCAAAGCCAGCCACCTTGCAGGTGACTGGGGGGAGGCGGATGCTGACAGTCCGCTACATAGAACTCTTATTCCCCTATACCGTTTGCCACTTAACAGTTTTCCCAAAATACACACTCTCCCTCACCCCCATTAAAAAAAAAGGCCATATTGAAGCAGGAATTATTCAGAGCCACTACCAAAAATATCCTCTTTATTTTGCTATTTGACTTCAGAATCCCCAAGTAGTTCATACTTAAAGCAGCAATTTTCCTGGACCTCATCCCCAAGAAATTTAGAAAAAGTCCAGGGTAGGCTCCATCGCCCTCTACCCAAGTCTGTATTTTTAGCAAGCACCCCAGGTAACTGATGCAGTTGGTACAGGAACCAGAGTGAGAAACTTTGACTCAGAGGTAAAAATTGCATGGTATTGACCTTAAAAGTTTTACTCTATCAAGTCCAAAATCAACTTGCTACATTCTGAGAACAGAATAAGTTAATTTAGTAGAAACTAATGTTCTCAGAGCCAGCATAGTGGAATCTGAAGTGAGACTTTGTTTACTTCTGTAACACTTCCCTGACTACTTCTTCCCCACCCCGGAGTCTGTTTTTTCAGCCCCTCACTGCCTGGATGTGACTTGTACCCCTCTAGCTCCACACTCACCATGTTGCAGTTGCCTGTAACTTCTCTGAAATTCTCATTAGAACAGAGCGTTATGAGAGGAGCGACTGTGTCTGTCTTGCATATAAGTATATGTGTATGCCTATGACTTGGGGCAAGTCACTCGATTGTCTGAATTGCCTTATCTGTAAAATGGGGCAGTATTACTTGGAGAGTAATTCCTCATGTGAATATAGAGTACCTCAAATAAGAAAATTAATACAGAATAGTTTTTAAACAATAAAGAACTATGTGAATATAAGGGATTATTAGGATTATTGTTATAATGCTAGTAATAATTATTATTGTTGGCATCCACAGCACCTAGCCTTGAACATGTGAAAAGAGCCTGGACATATATTTATATATTTTGACTGGTTGAGGAACTTGTTATATTAATTATTATTTAATAATTTTATTTATTTATTTTTAGTTTTTTAATTGAAATATAGTTGATTTACAATGTTATGTTAGTTTCTGGTGTACAGCAAAGTGATTCAGTTTTATATATATATGTATACTTTTTAAAGTATAAATGTGTACCTTTTTATATTCTTTTCCATTATGGCTATTACAGGATATTGAATATAGTTCCCTGTGCTATACAGTAGGACCTTGTTGTTTATTTTATATATAGTAGCTTGTATCTGCTAATTCCAAACTCCTTAATTATCCTTCCCCCATTCCCTTTCCCCTTTAGTAACCATAAGTTTGTTTGTTATGTCTGTGAATCTGTTTCTGTTCTGTAAATAAGTCATTTGTATCATATTTTAGATTCCACATATAAGTGATATCATATGGTACTTGTCCTTCTCTTTTGATTTACTTCACTTGGTACGATAATCTCTAGGTCCATCCATGTTGCTGCAAATAGCATTATTTCACTCTTTCTTATGGCTGAGTAATATTCCATTGTGTAATAAAAACAAAAAACTTAAAAAACTTTTTAAAGATGGCCATTCTGACCAGTGCGAGGTGATGCCTCATTGTAGTTTTGATTTGCATTTCTCTGATAGTTAACGATGTTGAGCATCTTTTCATGTGCCTATTGCCCATCTGTATGTCTTTAGAGAAATGTTTATTTAGGTCTTCTGCCCATTTTCTGACTGGGTTGTTTAGTTTTTTGTTCCATTTTTGGTTAGTTTTTAGTTTTTTGTTATTGAGTTGTATGAGCTGTTTGTATATTTTGGAAATTAAGCCCTTGTTGGTTGCATCGTTTGCAAATATTTTCTCCCAGTCCGTATGTTGTCTTTTCGTTTGGTTTGTTTCCTTTGCTCTGCAAAAGCATATAAGTTTAATTAGATCCCATTTGTTTATTTTTGCTTTTATTTCTGTTGCCTTGGGAGACTAACCTAAGAAAACACTGCTACAATTTATGTCACAGAATGTTTTGCCTGTGTTGTCTTCTAGGAGTTTTATAGTATCATATCTTATATTTAAGGCTTTAAGCCATTTGAGTTTATTTTTGTGTATGGTGTGAGGGAGTGTTCTAACTTCCTTGATTTATATGTGGCTGTCGAGCTTTCCCAACACCACTTGCTGAAGAGACTGTCTTTTCTCCATTTTATATTCTTGCCTCCTTTGTCAAAGATTACTCAACTGTAGGTGTGTGAGTTTATTTCTGGGATCTCTGTTCTGTTCCATGGATGCATATGTCTGTTTTAGTGCCAATACCATGCTGTTTTGATTACTGTAGATTTGTAGTATTGTCTGAAGTCTGGGAGGGTTATGCCTCCAGCTTTATATTCTTTTTCCTCAGGATTATTTTGGCAATTCTAGGGGTTTTTTTGTTTTTTTGATTCTATATAAATTTTAGTATTATTTGTTCTAGTTCTGTGAAAAATGTCATGGGTAATTTGATAGAGATTGCATTAAATCTGTAGATTGCTTTGCATAGTATGGCCATTTTAACAATATAAATTCTTCCAATTAATGGTGCTTCTATGGAAGACCTGGGCTAGGTCCTGTGTACCCCCCCACACCCCGATTGCAGCTCAGACCACACTCCACCCCTGCAGGCTGTCTCCACAAGGCCAACCCCAGTCCTCTCCCGGGCCTGTCTGCTGAAGCCCGAGTTTCAGCACCCAGCCCCCACACACACCAGCAGCGGTGTTCTTGGGCTAGGGAGTGCACAGAGATGGCCAGGACCCTCTGTGCTGGTCTCTCTCTGTTCTGCCCGCTACAGTCCAGCTGCTGTACTCTCCTCTGAGCCTCTGACGCTCCTTTTCTGTTCAGCTGATCTCCCAGCTGGTGAAGGGGGTTCCCAGGGTGAGGGAACCTTTCGTCTTTCACAGCTCCCTCCCAGGGGCGCAGGTCCACCCCAATTCCTTTCTTTTCTTTCATCCTACCTAGTTACATAAAGATCTTTCTTGCAATTTGGATTGTATGAGATCTGCCAGCATTCGGTAGGTATTCTGTGAGAATTATTCCACAGAATTTTGATGTATTTGTGGGAGGAGGTGAGCTCCATGTCCTTCTGTTCTGCCATCTTGATCTCCACCCGATTATTTGATGATTTTAAATCAACTGAGCAAATTATTTTAGCCCTAGAAACTGGTATTGGAGAAGGAGTCTTGTCCAATGATAATTATGGTCATGAGAATTATGTGCCTAAACATCTGTAGTGAACTTTAGATCATTAGAGCTAAACCTGGAATCAGTTATTGAAACCTGTTGACAAGTTCATTTCCATATTCAAACTCGTCTCTATCAAACCTTTTTACCATTAGAAAAAGGGGAGTTTTAGACAATAATCAGTAGAAGGAAACAAATTGAATGCATGGATAATTCATAGAATGCATAATTGAGGATAGCCTTTATTCTTAAACTATTTTTCTTTAGTTCCTGCTCTGTCTACATGGACTTATTTTTTTCAGTCTTGAAGATGTTTAGTGCTTTGAGATTATTCAATTAAATGATCTGTTAAACATAAATGGATTATTTAGAAACATGACTATTTAAAAACATTGCTTCAGCGTATGCTGACAATGAAACCTTGCTATCAACTGCAGCAGACAGTTTAATTTTGGTTGCTATAAAATTATTCATATAAGCTTGTTTCTACTCTAAGGAAATTTAGATTTCTTGGCATTAAATTCTATGTAGCAATTCCATAAGGTAATACAGAAGGTAAAGTATAGTGACTAACACTAGGGTGTTATCGCAAACTAAAACAGCCTCAAGCTGAATTCTGATCTCCTTGGAAGCATGGTGCCTATTTTTACACAGTACTGTAAACTGTAGCTCATAAATCTAAACAGTAGTACCAAAACAATGAAGTATTATAATGCTATTTGAACTGTGTGTTTGCGTAACAAAATTTAAAATCGCCCGTTTTCATTAAAAATATTTTTGAGTTATAGCTTATCTACTAAATTATTCAGTTACATTAAACCTTCCAAGTCACC